AGGTGTTTGAACAGAGGGAGGGAAACAGTCATTATTTCCGTCAAATTCTTGCCTTCTTTTTTTAAACTGTCAAATCCTTTCTTAACTTGGATTATTGTGAAACATATGACAGAAAAAAAACTTTATAACTATATTTAAAAAAAAACACCTTTATATACGCAGTTTTGATATTTGATATTATTTTCCCCCTGTAGTTTCTATAAATTGAAGTAATCCGAGTTGTAATAATTGTTAAAGAGTCAAATATAATCATACTCACATTTGCAAATAACAACCGTGAGGATGCTGCAGAGGATGAGGCCAGCAGCAGCACTGCATGAGATGATCAGCAGCTGGAACGACACACTGGCAACAGCTGTAATGGTCACAAACAGGGTACGATCAGATCATAAACATCAGACAGATGAATGTTTGACAGACTAAAGGAAAACAGCAACAATATCTCCTGATTGAACCAAGCAGTCTGCTAGAGACCATCACAGTGACTCTCCTACTGTAACTTAGAACGCTATTTCTAATTTATGTACCAATATTAATGTATTTGCATTTTTGCTTTGTATTTGCTTAGTTTTTAGTAATAACCAAAGATTAATTGACAGAATTGCTTAAGAATATTAAAAACATTTTGTTATTAATTATTTGGAGGTACACAGGCATACGCACATACTGTATATGATCCTTCACATCACATATGTTTTAATCTGGTTAAAGTCGAAGCCCATTATTTAATCAAACTGCTCTATATTTCTAACATTTAAACAGGTATGTGTGTGATTTTTTTCAACTAGCAGTTTGGTGGGCTGAAAGCAATTAGGTTAGTGTAAGTTTGCTGAATTGTCACTCATAGTGTTGCATTAAATTAAATATTATGCTCTAGATTGTCCTGGTTAAAGTGATAGGTAGATAAAATGATCCACCTTTGTCAGAAAGTATCTCTGAGGTGAGTTGTATACTTCTTTGGGTTTGTGTACTTGAGTATCTGGCATAACAGGTGATTGTGTCTCCTTCACTCCAGTCAGGTTTACACAGACGCAGCTCGCTGTTCATGTAATAAGATGTGAATGGATGAAGTGACCTTTCACCCCGGCTCCAGGTGAAGTTCACTTCCTCAGTTGTCAGACCCTCCACAGAGCAGAGCAGATGGAGACAGGTGTCATTACTGCTGTTCAATTTCTGCAGATGTGGAACAACTACAGTGAAAAATTGTTATTGTTAATTACTGTTATTGAAATTGTTAATTATTGACATCTAGGTAAAATGGTCTACAACAAAAGGACAGTTCAAAAAAAAATGTATGAATGGCACTCACCGACAACTTGGAGTGTCATATTTGTGAAGTAGTCCAATGATGGTGGTGGAATTATTCTTGTCGTTTTACAGCTGTGATAACCAGAGTCACTGGGCTGAACGTCTTTTATTTTTATTTTTAAAGGCTCTCTGGTTAATGTAAAACGAGGAGCACATTCATTGATGGGAGATACAGTATCTTTATTAATCATCCATTTACAAATAGTGGTACTATTTGTACTATATTTTGTCCACTTTACATCAAATTGATCACTGTCTTTAGGTGACTGGCAGGGCAGATGCACAGTTTCTCCTTTGATTACTGTGGAAACATTCCTTCCGCCTGTGAATTGAGACAAATTTCAGTGTAGCCAACAGCTTTAATGGTGGCTTCAGATAGGCCTACACAGTACACATATCACATCTGGGTAACACTTTAGAATAATGGTCCGTTGTTAACAAGTAACTATCAATATAAATGCAGTCGATGCCTTCATTAAGGATGTGAATTGTTTTTGTCAAGAGAACATCATTATTTATATTCAAGAAAAGTCCTCCCCAGCTTACTGTCACTAAAGGTATAGGTCTTTTGGAGTCGGAGACATACTGAACTGACACAAACTAGAGCTCATAATTGTGAACTAATTCAATCACTTCCTAATTATTAACATTTTTAAATGAATTATTTTTATTATTATTTTATGTTTTTGTTTGAAATAAACAGAGAACATCCATCCTTTGGTAAGAGTAGTAGTGACAATTTCAACCTGTAGCCGACTTATTTGGGGGATATCATATTCATAAATTAGTTTCCACAAAGAACCCAATTGTTCACTTTTAAGACGTTACTGTTGTGATTAGTAATTAATTGGTTATTCTTTATTAATTGGTCATAGTTCGCAAGTAGTTCTCAATGAGGATATATTTTTTTAGTAATTATCAAATATCTAATAAGGAACTACCTTTGTCCTAAATTTGCTACTACTTACTGCTTAGTTAATCTTGCTTCTCTATTAGTTAATAGTATTAAGTTAAGTGTTAATGTAGCACTACCTATTACTTCCTGCATAGTTACTTGTTAACAACGGACCATTATTCTAAAGTGTTACCCACATCTGTTGTGGAAAAAATTACAGAAAATCTGCCACATATAAGATGCATTACCCATCATTGTAATTAGTCAGTTTAAGTCACAAATGAGACATTAGCCTAGATGAAACGTCTTTGCTTTAAATAAAAGGGAGAAGCAAACAGAATTGAAGTCTCTTACCTGTATGTGGAAGATAAACTAAAGTCAAAAATAAAAGACCGTTTGTAGTCCATTTTAAAAACATGTCGATGCACTCAGTGTGTTTGACACATCTGCACACGAACACAGACGTTCTGAATGATGAACTTCCTGGCCATGCGCCCACCCACAATCTAGATCACAAGTCAAAAAAAAAATATCTTACTTCCGTTGGTCAAACACTTCAGAGATTCACTCTGATACAAATTGTTCTTATATAAAATGGACATTACCATCACCTTCATTGCTTGCCACCATTCTGAAATGACTGTTAATAGACATGATCTGTTCCGGTGAACAGAATGTCTTTTATCTTGAATGAAATCTTCCTAACTCATTGTCTTTGTTGTTGTGTATTCGATGACATAGAGGAAATGGAAATAAAAGAGTACTGGTAACATTTTTAAAAATGAAACATGGAAGGATATAAGAACATGGAGTCTGTTTTCTGTTTTTCTCTTTCTTCTTTCAGAGGTTCTGCTTTCCGTAAAAGCATTCTTGAAAGAGAGACCACAGAATTTCACAATCTTCACACTAACCTCCTACAGACAGACATGCTCTTAATGTTTTGAGGGGGCACCAGGGACCGTCTAGCAGTGTCATTTTAGTTTAGTATGCAAGGGAACCAGGGTTGTAATAAGCCAAGGAAAGTGAACTGAACTTGACAGCCTTGATATTTAGTATATTCTATAGGATTTTTATTTTTTTTTTACATTTTGATAACTTTTATAAATGTCATAATTTATGATAAAACTTCAGGTGGTCACTGTGATAACTACTACTATATCCATATGTATATACATTTGAATTATTTACTTTTGAAAACCTAAGCTAGATCAATAAATTACTAACGCCTATACTGGCACTGTATTCTGTGGTCCATGATTTGTCTATCATATAAACAATGATGAATGGATTTAAAACATTTGTAGAACCGGAAGGCTAAAATGCACCTCATCTTCATGTTTTGTGAATCGGTGGCTGTTCTCTGTGGCTTATGAGACACAGACTTCTGTGTTCATTCTGCTGTACTGAAGGACGTGACTGGGTCAAGCAAAAGATGAGGACATTTAAATGGATATATGATAAAAATCTCATTAAATACAACTCTTCTGTAGTCTTGTTCTGACAAATTAATGTATTGTTTAAAAAAATGACACCCAAACACCTGCAAAAACTCATCTGTTCTGTACAATGACAATTAAAACGACAAATATTGTCAAAATGGCAATGAATTTGCTGCACTAAAGTATTATTAGTTCACCCAAAATGGAAAATTCTGTCATCATTTACTCACCCTCATGTCATTCTAAATCTGTATATAGTTTTTTTCCCCCTCTTCTGCGGAACATAAAAAAAAGATACATTTTGAAGAATTGTTTTGGTGATCATTGACTTTTATTATATGTATAATCATTTTAATTTCGCAAAATATTTTCTTTAATGTTCTACAAAAGTAATGAATTCTTACAGTTTTGCAACAATTCCATGGTGAGGAAATTATGACAGAATTTTCATTTTTGGGAACTATTCCTTTAAACGAGACGGGATACCATATTTAGAGTCATACGTCACCTTCAGCTTTCATTTTATTAAAAAAGTTTGGTTTTATGCAATCGCTGGACAAGAAAATTCTTTGTATATTAGCCATTTATTTACAAGTAATACTGAGTACATAAAACAGAAATATTTTGATTTTAACAACAATCAAGGAAAATTAGTTCACATTAAATGTCTAGGAAACAAAAAACAGCCATAAAAAAAACCTATCATTTAAAAAAATATATATATTACAGCAGTGGCGGCTCGTCTCCAATACAATTAGTGTGCCTCCTCTATTTTAAAAGCCACGAGCCGCCACTGTATCACAGTAACTCGGTTAACAATCATGTAGGATCTTATTGTTTAGCGCGTCTCCCCTCTTCTGAATCTGATGCTCTTATGTTGATGGTTCATGGCAGCAGGTTTATAATAATTAAATCATTTGAATTTCCTTAGAAAGTTTAAAGGCCATTGAACAGCTTTGCTGAACTGGTACACTGTACTCTAGTTTGTCCTGGTTAAAGTGATAAGTAGTTAAAATGACCCACCTGTGTCAGAAGCATATTTTGTGGTGAGTTGTATACTTCTTTGGGTTTGTGGGCTTGAGTAGCTGGTGTAACAGGTAATCATGTCTCCTTCACTCCAGTCAAGTTTACACAGATGCAGCTCGCAGACAAATTATTTGACTATCAAAATATTTTTCTTTAGTGATCCTAATTAGACAAACTACAGAGAAGTAGGCCTATATTTGCAGTTTATGATACATCATACCACATATGTATTCAATATATTCATTAAAGCACATAGTGAAAAATCTAAAACTAAAGACAATACTTTAAAAAAATATTACAGTAAGAGAAAAACAGAAGTTCTTCTGATGCGCTCATGTCGCTAGTCTATGGCAGCAGGTCACACGCTTATCTGCAGGATGAGACATGAGTGTTTTGCAAACATTAATTAGTTCAAAGCTAAAGGAATCTGTAATGTTTTGTGAAATGTTTCACCAATAAAGATGAATTTCTCATCCATAGGTTCAATAAAAACAGATTTGTGTTTAATAACTTCAGCTCACTTTCAGATCAAAGATACCAGAGATTCTAAAGGAATTGCTCACTATTTTTTCTAAATGGAGATAAATATATAGGTCTTATTTTTGAACTGTCAAATTTTGCATATATCAGAAGTTTGTCTTACATTTGAATATGAAGAACAACATCCAGATGAAAACGATGCTGATGATGAAGATGCTGAAAAGGACCACACAAACCGGAAGACGGATCTCAGTTTGGCCTGATGGATTGGTTGATATGTTAGTTATATTTTTTAATTGACATTTTTATGGTTTGTTTGTTTATTTTAAAATAGGTTTCTTAATGTTTAATTTAATTACATTTAAACAATTAAAGTCCAAGGAAAATTAGACGCACCACACATCATTCTACAGTGCCCTTTGTGCTCTATCGAGTTTGGAATGTAGTGAGTTCTGATTTGTGCTGCCAAATGAATAACTATTTTCTTCTTTCTTATTTTAAAATCACTCACCCTCATGACTGAAGTCCAGTGTAATGCTCCTGCTGTACGGTGTTTGTGTGCTTGAGTAGCTGGCGTAACAGGTGATTGTGTCTCCTTCACTCCAGTCAGGTTTACAAAGATGCAGCTCGCTGTTCATGGCATAAGATGTGAATGGATGAAGTGACCTTTCACCCCGGCTCCAGGTGAAGTTCACCTGCTCAGGCTTCAGACTCTCCAATAAACAGAGCAGATGAACACAGGTGTCATTACTGCTGTTCAGTTTCTGCAATGACAGATGTGGACGAACTGCAGCTGAGGGAAATGAACAACACCAGCATGAGCTCAGGTATTCATAGTGTGGCATGGTTACTACATTATTATTGCGCATAGGGACATCTAGGTGATGGTCTACAACAATCAGACATTTCAAATAAATAAATATTTATGAAAGTTACAATCACCTTGAAGTATTAGACACGAGCTTTTGTGCAAAGATGGTGGTGGTACTATTCTTGTTGTTTCACAGCTGTAATTACCGGAGTCACTGAGCTGAATGTTTTCTATGCTTAGTGTAAAAGACTTTCTGTTGAACGTAAAACGAGGATTGCAGTCTCTGGTAAGAGATCCAGCAATATTACCAATAATCCATTTACAAATATCATCTGCTCTATTTTTTCTCCACTGTACAGAAATGAGTTCACTGTTGTTAGAGTGTGAGTGGCAGGGCAGATGAACAGTTTCTCCTTTTACTGCTCTGAAAACCAACACACCTGTAAAATGAAATAAAAAGGTAATTCAGCGCAACTCTTTTTTTTAATAGAAATTATTTTGTATTTTTTTTCCCAAGTTAAAAAATATATAACATAGAAGAAAAATGTTTATTATTTTTTCATTCAATGTGCACCAAGTAAATAATAAACATTAAAATAGTCTTTAATAGAAATCTGCATTCAATAACATTTTGAATGGGTAACAAGTTGTAGATTTTTTTTTTTTAAACAAATACGGTTTTCTAAAAAAAACAACAGCATCTAATAGCATCAGACTGTAAACACTTTTAGGTTCTACAGTAGCCAGCTTCACATTAAATCAAATAATTTTCTATTATTATCATTAATAATAATAATAAAATTCACCACAAATATCAGTTACTTACCCTCACATACACACAGCGTGAAGCTGAAGATAGTAAGAATCAGGTGGCTAAGAGCCAGTAAAGACATCATTGTAATCACTGTATGCAGAGTCTGTACTTCAGATGTACACTTTTGGTTCCTCCACGTCTAACATGTTAATTCAAAATGAATGAAGGCGGTACCTGTATATCATGATGTGCTCTACCACCAACTGCACTAGCCTAAATAAGTGAACCACAGAACCTATTTTCGCAACAACTTTTTTTTGTGTTATGGGTTTTAACTTGGTTTAATATGGGTAACAACAGTGATAAATATTTTTTGTATTACTGTTATTAGTATGAATTATTTACAGCCCCCAAATGTAGAACAAAAAAGTATCTTAATTTAATAATTATTATTATTATTAATACATTTTTTAAATAAAGTATTATTTAAATAAAACTGTATTTTATTGCCAAGTTGAAGTTAATTGAATTGCTAGTTTTATCAAAAATTAGATCACATCATCATCATCGTAAATATTATTGTTTGATTTAATTCATATTTTAAATAATAATAATTTTTCAAAGAAAACATATTGGAGTGCTACTTGCTGAAAGGACCTCCGTTTAATAGTCCCAGAAGGTGCTCTTTGGTAGGGTTCAAAATTATATCTATAGAAACTACGGATCCAAGGCACTTCTTCCAGTTCCAAAATGTTAAAAAGCCTTTATTCAAACATGGCTCACTCTAGAAACATTAAAAATGACTAGAACACTGTATCATACAATAAAATGGAAATAATAATTTTTAATGAATAAAATATAACTATGAATTTTAATGCCAAGTTAAAAAATGAAATAAAATGCATCAGATAAATAAATGTGAAAAACAATACAAAATAAAAATAAATAAATAAATCATAATAATAATGGTTAACTAATCAAAAATCTATTATCCGAATCTACTTTTTCTGAATGAAAAGGATTCTTGTCTTGTCAGATTAAACCCTCCATGTATGAGTCTATCAGTGACTTTCATGATCTGAAAGCAAGACTGCAGGCAGACATATTCATATGTATGTTACTTTAATAGGTGTGTAAAGAATAACATTTGCGTCAGCAGACAGTGTTATGACATAAGACTCAGTGAGAAGGGCAATGGCAAAGGGGTCCCTCTCTACGCAGGGGATCAGTAAGGCAAGGCTGCATCAACAACTGGGCTGTAACAATCAGATCCATACATTGCATCATACAGTACTAGTGACAATAATCAGATCAAGCACACAAGTATAAACTCCTTAGAGGAATCAAGAACAGGATCTCGGGTAAGCGTTTAAAAAGACAGCGCCACAACTGCATCTAAAGCCATGAACGTACATTCTTGTACAGAGAAAATCCTCATCGTTGATAGGGTGCATATTCAAGGTTATTAAGACTCGAAACGAGTAGAGAAGGAAAGGTTTGGCAACTGATATCCGTGATTGCTGCTATTGCATGTTCGGGTCTAAATGCGTAAGAGCGAAAGATATTTGATGTCAGATATGATGGTGGCAGTTGCACTGCACATTTTGGAGGTCAGGGTTTGTGTCTCGAGGATGACTGGAAGTTTTTACAAATTTTTCACGTAAGGAAGCAGCCTAGAATTCCTCCATATAAAGCCACCACATACAGAAAGACTGGATTGGAATTAGAAAAATACAGGTACAAAATCCATTACATTCAAGAGACAATCTAGCACAAAAGGGTAATATCATAATCTTTATAGCTAATATAGGAATTTCTGTTTCATAGAGGCAATTCGCTAAGAGGCATCTTCTAAATAGAAAAAAGAGGGGTGAACTTCATGATGGGGGCATCATGGGATGGGATCAGATTCTAAAGATGCATCATGCGGGGACGTTCAAATAAGCCATGTTATCATTCAACGCATTATAATTCTCGCTAGCAATGACAATTTGTTAAAATACACATATTTCACCCTCTGGATATGCAGGGGTCACGATAAAGAATGACAATCATGAGGGGACACTGGCGAGATGGGATCAATCTTTATAGGGGTAATTCACACAAAAATTTAATTTTGGCACCATTTATGCACCCTCATGTCATTCTAATTCAGTATGATTTACTTTCTGGCATAAAACAAAAAAAAAAAAGACATTTTGAAGAATGTCCATGCTGCATTTTTCCGTACAATGAAAATGAATGGTGACCAAAATGACAAAAAAAAAAAAAAAAAACACCATAAAAGTATGCAGTATTGACTTAAATTTCTGTCCTTTCTCCACACAAAACTATTATATGGCTTTTGAAGACCTGAATCAGAATCATACGAGACACTTTTATGGTGTTTTTGTCATTTTTACATATTGTATGGAAAAAGTGCAGCATTAACATTCTTCTAAACATCTTTTTTTGTGTGTGCTCCACGAAATCATGCCAATACTGGGACATGAGGATGAGCACATGATGACAAAATCGTAATTTTGGGGTGAACCGTCCCTTTAAGAACGTGATGCTGTTTTGGTATGGGTTTAAGGTGCAAATATTGTCTTTCTAAAATAGGTATATTAAAAAGGTGCCAACATTTTGCACACCACTCTCACTGCAGGTTAATTCAGAGGAAAAACCATCAGAAAAGATTAGAAGAATTAGTTGTGCTGATAAAATACATTTGAAACCTGAAGACGTATCCGCTGGGCTAAGCTCAGCGGAATAAAGCCTGGCTCTCTGCATCGTGAAATTTCCCTTACAGACTATTTTCGCTTTTCTTTGGCAAATGTCTGAGAGAATGACGCGTGTACAACACGTCTCCTGATCGCCGGGAAGAACTTAAATTGCGTCTGAGGCGCATTACGCGCGAGGGAAGACGTCTTATGGTAATTTCCTGTGAACGACAAACATTTGCGACAAACATCTGAGTCGCGTCTATCATGATCTACCATCCTTTGAGGAAACAGATAATTTTCCAGTGGGCCTTAAATTGCGGTCACACTAGCGAAATCTCAGCGAAATTTACTGTCAATATTGTAGAAATGTACGACGCACTACTCACAAAGAAGCCACTTTCAAACAAAGCGAATTTGCAGTGAATTTGTGCGAACAATGACCGAAATCTGTGTGGGGAACTTTTTCGCCCTTAGGCAAAACTCCAGATCATACGGATTACTATTAAAATGACTGGAGTTTGCCTGTTAAATTTTGCTGAGAAACGGTAAATGTGACTGCAGTCAGGGTGGGCAACGTTTAATTTTACGCAAGGATTTTTCGTAAAATTAAACATGGTGCGCACTCTTAACTAACCAAAGAAGAGATCATTTACAATTAGATTACTGATACAATTCAAACAGTCCATAATGACAATCAACTGATTCAAAACAGCTGAGCAGGAGGTTTAGTATCTTATTATTCATAATTCATAACATTTTTACCCTACTATAACTGTTAAAGTGTCATAAGCGGGGCCATACAGGTGATTTATAAAATTAGCTTAATAAAATCACACTTACAAAAGTGATTAGGTCCTGATTTTTCAGGTAAACATCATCAGTATGTCTCACGACTGCCTCAGGCACAATTACAGCCTACAAGCTTACTATTACTTAAAATACACTGAGATTTAAACCCTTGGCTTTGAGTAAATGCCTCTATTGTATAAATAACAGGAAAGGGGAACATTCAGACAGATCTCGCGCCCCACCACGCACGCCAGACGTAGGCCATATGCGGCAATGTGGTCTCGCACATGCACGTCCACAAGCAGGAACTAATCGTCTAGAGGCGGTGCATTCTTTATCAGTGCTTGTTGGCTTAACAGGTAAGCATAGGTATATATATACACAGATATTTGTACATGAGCTTTTGACAACAGTCTCGATCCAGTAGAGCACACCTCAGGAAAGGCTGAGGTGTCTAAATTAAATGTTACGAACGAAGCGAGGAAAAACAGGTGTTCTAAGGAGAACAAATGAAATACAGTATTTCGAAGAAGTAGAAAAAAACCTTATTAGTTATAAATTCATAAATCCACAGACAATATCATTTATAGAAGAAAAATCGGTGCCTTTCAAAGCAAAACAGACAAAAGAACATCAATCGACTTATTAAAAAGGAAAAAAGATTGACTTGAACAGTGAAAGAATGTGCGGCTTTTAAACCTGTGATCTGGCTTATAGAATTCCTTCATTTATCTAATCTAGGCTCCCTACGACCTCGGGAGGGTTTCAGGAAGCAGGTTCGAACCAGCCCAAGAACACAGGGAGCTGATGTGCACTGCAAAAATCATTTTCCAAGCAGAAAACGTTTTCCACTAAAATATCTAAACCTCCTTAAAACAAAATTAAATTACCTGAGAAGCAAAACTGTGCAAAATAATACAAGAATAAACCGAACAAATCTGTTTTTGAATGAATCGGTTAAGCAGACAAATTAACTTCCAAGACATAAAACCTTTCTCCAATTTGTAGGCACTCACATTTTAATAAAGGCTTGTTTTGATCATGAACCACTCTGTGGTTTTAACGATTCAGAACTTCCTCATAACTCACTAAATGACACTGGCTTGTCACCACTTTACTGGAATAATGATGCAGCCTGCAGAAAAGGTCACTGAACGGATCAGTAAATGAATCTTTTTAGTAAACTCATTCAAAAATGGATTCACCTAAATCAAAACCCCACCAGTTATCTTGAATTAATCTTATTTCTCTTACTTTTTCAGCAAAACGTAGTAAGGATTTTGTTTAAAATTGTGTGCCAAACACACAATTTTGCTTCTCAAATGAACTGATCTTGTTTGAAGGATTTATTTTTAGATAATTTTATGACAAAAAATGAAATCCTAATAAGAACATGATTTTTTTTGCAATGTGTTGTTGACACACAGCACACAATCTGGTTTGAAGACCAGAACGTGACCCTGCAAGGGTCTGACTCACAAGTGCCTAAAACACAAGATGTGCACATTGCAGGAGAACATGTGTTTATGTGTGTGTGTGTGCGAGTGTGTCTGTGAGAGAGTGAGAGAAACGCCTTTCTCTTCTATGTCAATCCCTGTTTGATTTTCCCTTCTAACTCTCCCATTGTGTGCTTGGAGGAATGGACAGAATCAGCAAAACTTTGAGTTGGAATGGCGTCTTCAGCCTCAGGTACAGGAAAATACGAGGGCTGAGTATCTCAGTGATGATACAAAAGCTAACTTGAGACTAAAACAAAAACAAACCAAAACTTGCTATTATAACGAAAGCCAACGACAACTAAAAGCATGGTCTACGGTAGCTAAAAATGAGTGCAGTGTCTATTATTAAACTATATTAGAGAGGAGTAGCACTTTTTTGGATTAGCCAGCAAGACGCTACACACTGCAGTAAGGTCAAGTATTGACATAAAATGCATTTTTTTTTTCATTCAAGTATTGCCATACTGCTCTGATAATGATAGCTGTACATGTCAGAGAAGAGCGCACAGCTAAAAGTGACGGGGTGTCATGATATAAAAAGGTTTGACTGGCTTTCCATGTGATGATTCAATCAGAAACACTCGTAGGCAGGGTCTAAAATTAACTCTTAACAACTTCCAACGGTTAATGAATTGAAATAAATTTGCCAAACAGAAATATTAATTATTTCTGATTATTTCACATTATAAAAAATGTGTGGAAAAATTATAAATACACATATATGAAATGTTATTTTTTAGAATATACATTACAGTTAAAAGTTTGTGGTTATTAAGTTTTTTTTCTAAAGAAATTAATACTTTTAGTCAGCAAAGAAAAATGCATTCAAATGATCAAAAGTGACAGTAACATTTATGATGCTACAAAAGATTCCTTTTTCAAATAAATGCTGTTCTTTTAAACTTTCTACTCAAAGAAACCTAGAAAAAAAAGCTTTCAAGATTTCCACAAAAATATTAAGCAGCACAAATGTTTTCAGCATTGATAATAAGAAACGTTTCTTCAGCACCGAATTAGAATGATTTCTGAAAGATCATGTGACACTGAAAACTGGAGTAATGATGCTGAAAAATCAGCTTTGCCATTACAGGAATAAATTACATTTTAAAATAGATATTTTAAATTGTAGTAATATTTCACAATAGTACTGTTTTTACTGCATTTCTGATCACTGACTGTTGATCATAAGAGACTTCTTTCAAAAACTTTTCCCAAACTTTTGAACGGTAATGTATATTAATATACATTTAAGTATTTGATTCTTGGCAAGTGCTAATTTTGGACCCTGCTTGTAGACTGCAGCGCAACTTGCGCAAACATCTGGCTTCCCTCCGACGCATCGCTGCTGTCTGCGAGTGGAAAACAGGTGGTTTATCTCTGAATAACTGTCATCTACAGAGGCACCGGACAAACTTGAAACAAGCACCATTGCTTGAAAGAAAGAGGGTCATTGCTTGAAAGAAAGAGGCATCTAGGCATTGACTGTGCATTATGAAGGTGAAGGTGGTGCTTCTGTGCAGAGAAAAAATCTGAACAGGTCTGTGAGGTATGAGGCTGAGCAGTCTGAAAACACTCATTCTCTCTCTTCATAAGATTCAGAGCAAGAAAAGGGGGCAGGAAGCCACAAAACGTCCCTCTGACCGCGAGGTGGTGTACGCTGCTGTGTGAAAAAGACGTTTGTGCAATGAAGCTGACCAGGAACAGAAACGCTAAGACAAGGAGGGAACACTTGCTTCAAATGCACTTTTTGTAGGCAAAACTTGACCTTAAATAGTAGCCATTTCTTGCAGATTGTAAAGTCTGATAACTGGTCCGGAGCCACCAGAGGAATCAGGCGTAGGGACCAGAATTGGCTCCCCCAGGGCCCTGAGGGGGTGAGAGGGAGGGAGGATGGGGTTGGGTGTAAGGTGAAGGCTTCTGGGATAAAACATCTTCATCCTTCTCAGAGCTTCCCTCATCCCTTTCCAGTCTCTCTCGCTCTCATTCGCTCTTTTCCCCCGACATCTGAGGCCGAGGGTCAAGAATAAGGCCCCAGCATGTACGTACATAAGCCCAGACCGGATTAAACCCGTCCCAGGCCAGGCTGAGGCCTCACTGGTCCGCACAGGAAATCAGCACAGGGGCCATGTCCTTCACTTGACCTTCAGTGGGGATGCTCACAGCACGCTGGGCTCTGGAACAAGCACACAGGTGTTTATTATCAACAGGCCACACCATCACAGCCAAAAAATTGAAGGGTTCCTCATCTACCTGTGCACATTCTCCATGGCTGCAACCTCAGCAAGGGCAGCCAAACTGAAGAAGGCCGGGAGGCCGCCGGACGCATCAGCCGCATCCGCTGATCTGGGATCATTGTAGCAGACCCCCCTATTGCATAATGTCTCTTGAGTGAATGGCTTTTCATCCTGATTCTTGGTCTGATCCTTGGATTTGTCTTCTGCTGAAACAGAGAGTAATAAAAGAATTTTAGACTTCTTTTTTTCCCCAATCTTTTTTATTAGCAGGACAGTAGAGTTTAACAATCCAAATGCTTTAAGTGATGCACATTCACATGAGATGAAGAAACCAGTCATATCATTGGCTACAAAAATATATATTTCATTCTACATAAGAAAGATTCACCATATTGACTTGACATAGCTTAATGTGGTTTATTTTATCTTAGTACCCTTCTGTTGGTGGCCACGTTTTGGTTGCGGTATACATAGGTGAAAAATATATCTGTAAATAGCGTATTACAACAATGGCAAGTGGCATCAGTGGCTAACTTTTTTTTTTTGCATGATGCTTCATGATGCTGTGTTGTTGTACATTCGGTGTAAATTGTTTCTTTTATATATATATATATATATATA